CCACGGCCCTTCCACGGCCCCGCTCCGGTCATGCCATGGCCCTTCCACGGCCCCTCCACGGCCCCGCTCCGGCCCCTCAACGGCCCCGCTCCGGTCATGCCACGGCCCCTCCACGGCCCCGCTCCGGTCATGCCAGGGCCCCTCCACGGCCCCGCTCCGGCCCCTCAACGGCCCCGCTCCGGTCATGCCAGGGCCCCTCCACGGCCCCGCTCCGGTCATGCCACGGCCCCGCTCCAGCCCCTCCACGGGTCATGCCACGGCCCCGCTCCGGTCATGCCACGGCCCCGCTCCGGTCATGCCATGGACCCGCCAGAGGGTCCCAGCCGAGGGTCCCGGGCGGAGCGCGCCAGTTCGCTCATTAATCCGCTAATTAATGCACACAGTTGTTCTTTGGCTTCATTCAGGAGAGTGTTTTGCCGCACAGTTTTACTTTTTGCAATATGTGTGCAGAAGTCCTCGCGGGTGTGTGCGATAGTCATCTCAATGGTCGTTTTGTCCGTATCTTCAGATTTGGCAAATTAACAGTTCTCTTAAACTCAGAATTGGAACTGCCAAATATTTACTTCAGGCTGCTCAGGAAATTCCTTCCGTGGGGAGCAGGAGCTAAAACCACCATGTACAAGAAGTTAAATAGACGTAGGTTTCATTCTAGCATGTTTCCATCCAAATTACATCATATGCTGTGATACTGGATGGCATTATTCTTCTAATACATAATTTTCTTTGTTTATTGCATCACCCTAATGTAGACAACATTTTATCCAAGCCAGTTCCTGATGCCCATAGACTACCACACTTAGTTAATAACAGTTCATTACATCATCAGAAGGGAGCAGATCTAATTTATTTTAAAATATTATTGTTAAACAAGATTTCCAGATGCAGAAAAGTTTAAAAATCTCCCAAAACAGGAATGGTTGATTCATGATGAGGCAGAAGGCAGGCTGGATGTCATTTATTCTCTAGAATGTTAACAGAATTAGTAAAGATACTCGATTTCTCTTTTGTTGAATCATCCATTATTTAATCTAGGCACTGTAGCTGAAATATCTGAATGAGGAACCTAGAACATGTCTGATGTTTATCATCAATTTAATTATTAATTATAAAATGAACCAGGACAAATTTTGAAATTAGGAAATACCTTGTTTTTCTTACAGTGTTTGCATACTAAAGAAGTCCCACACTGTATTTCTCATATTCATCTTTGTGGCATTTCTTACAGTCTTAGGAAGGTGGTATCTTATTTTTACCCTTAGTTGCACATTAACTACCAAAACAGTGATACTTTTTGCCATCTGTGTGGAACAAGGTGCTGCATTGTGCAGTGGTCAGGAGAGCATCATGGGGTAATGCTCACCCTTCCAAAGCCAAGTTTTGGGTTTGGCATTTGGGTTCTGAGAGGCCCAGACTGCCTTCTGCAGAGTGCAAAGTCACTCTGAAGTTCAGTGGGCTTTGAGGGAAAGGCATTTTCCACAGGAGCTGCAATTTCCCGCAGGGTTGGGATGTTGGGCTCTGATGTGCAGTGGCACTTGGGTACCTGACCCACATGGACACCACTGGCAGTTAAGCACCCAAGAATTTTGTCTCAACAGGTGTGGGGAAAATGCAATTCTTTCTTATGCAACAGCATGGATTCCCTTTCTGTGCTGCTTTTCTTATGTGGACTTAATGAACTCTCTTTTTTCTGTTGTTTGGCCGTTCTGCCTTTCAGCCTGCACACTTTATACATACATCCAAAAGCACTTCCTCGAGCATCTTTCTTTTTTTAGCACTGCCTTGCCAGTTAATCCATCCATAGAAGTCTCACATCATGAATGAGAAAGAACTATGTCCTTAATTTGTGGTGTTGCCACCAAGACCAGAGTGGTTTC